TTTCGAGAATACTTTATTTGCTCATTAATCAATTGTAATAAAAGGAACTCTCTGTTCAAGTATATATATATATATATGTCATTTATCTACTAACTTAATATTTTAACATTAAATATTTAATTTATAATTGAAAAATCTTCAAATTAATGGATTTTCTTAAATTCTTTCCTTCTGCGAATTCCTTCTGAGAGAAAAAGATATTTAACCTTTTCTAAATGTAATTACTTAATCTTTAAGAACAGATTAATTCTCATTGATCTGGTCTGTGCGCGATATACCTACACAGAGAGAACTTTCTCTTAGAATTTACTCTGGAAATCATGGTAATCGTAAGACAATATGGGATTGGAAAAATTTTATAAAAGTTTCTCTGATTAATATATGTGCCACAATAAAAAATATTAATATCTACCACAATAAGATATAAAATATATTCGATTATTTTTATCATGTACATATTAATATTTTTATCGTGATAAATATTAATAAAAAAAACTCAAAAAATTCTTTCAATATTATTCAATATCTTTCAATATCATTCAATATCTTTCAATATCATATTTTCGCACGATTACCATTTTCAGGATAAATTCTAAAATAAAATTTTCCGTACAATTCTCTTTAGATAATATTAAAATCGAAATTTAAAATTACAATGGATGTGATATTTTATTTCACGTTATTTTGTATTTATAATTTTATTTTAACATACAGTTAAATTCTAATAATGTGATTATATTGAACATTATGTTTTATTAATTATTGTATTTTCGGAGACAGTTTTAAATTGATATCGAAATCTCTCCTGTATTCGCTATATTTCGCCGGTCTTTAAATCGTTCTTTCGATCATTTGTCGATGTGAGTCTCATCGTTGTTGTCGTGTTGAGCGTCGACGAGTTCTCTCAAGTTTCGCAATCAGGTAAATCGTTAACTGCGTCGCTTTTACTCATGCCTCCAAATGTACGCTTCTAGAGGAGTTTGTCTGATCCACAAACGGATATACCAAGCGGTACGTGAATTTAATTAAATTCGAGACGACGCTCGATATACCGACGTTCTCCACCTTCCCGAAATATCGCGGAGCATCGAAACTATCTAGCAAACTGGAATGGAGAGGCATCTATCTCTGCGGAATCCTTACGGATTCATTTACTGATGTGGGATTTGAAATATAACCATTGCCTGAAAATTAATGGCCGGAAGAAATATAATAGGATTTCACAAATAAAGATGCAATTCTCAAATATTTATTTTAATTCTTTAATAATGGCATCCGAGAAGTTAAATCTTATTCATGCTTAAATATAATAATGCAAATAATGAGAAAAATATTTTTTTTTTATAAACAAATTTAGGAAAATTATTTTGAATTATTTTGTCAGATTTATTTTATTTTACGTTTTACTTTGGCATGCATTATATAACTTTATAACATGTTTTTTGACAACATTCCTTCAAGGAGAACTTTATTTGCGCGTGGCTTTTCAGCAGATTGTAAGTCTTTCTGACACGAGATCGCGGTATACGTGAAAATAATTCCATCTCGGTCGCAAAAATCTTTGTAAACAGACTTGCCGTTGGCGTAGGAAACGTGGGTATGCAAATAGAATCCGTCTATGCAATGCACACACCTGCCGCATCTCTTCTCACCGAGATCTTCTCTGGCGAAATGCCTCATGAGAGTCGATCCGCATGACGCTTCGTAACTTCCTCGGTTTTCGTATAATCATACTGCGAACAATGAGCGAACTATGATCTACCAAATTTGCTCGAAAGCGAGATTACGTCGCAGCAAAAATGAGTAACACAAAGCGAACCGACACGTTGACACAGAGAAAAAGAAGACCGTCGTTTTTATCGCCATCGATTTGTCACGAGATGCTATTTTACATTGAAAGTCAATCTAGCGTGCGCGCTGTATTTGTTCATGATAAATTCGAGTCTCTTTACATATAAAATTAAAATAGACATTTAAAATCACAGTATGGAATATAAGTTTATTTCGCGTTATTTTATTTTAGCATATCGTTATTTTGACATTGTAATAATATACTTGAGTATTTTTTAAATTATTTTCGTATTTTACTTATTATATTGTATTTTAAAAATATTCTCTTTTCAAAATCATCTCACGATCTTTCAAGTTTCATTTCAGGCTAAAAATTTTAATTAATTTAAAAAATTTTAATTTATCTGGAATATATTTATAAAGGAACATTACATATTCCATTTTTTTCTTGTGACATTTATCCGATACATTTTAATACATTAAAATGGCAGCGCTATGCGTTTGACTTTTCGTTTACCTTATCGCGATCTTTGTCACTGACATCCACGTCGCGCTGTCTCGTGATTTTGCACAAATTCCTGGTGTATGTGAAGGAGGAGGAGAGAAGGATGTTAGATCACGGATTGCAGTCGCAGCGGTGGCCGGCGGCGGTTCCGGAAATTGCAACTGCAAGCGGACTGGATCGTAAACTCGGGAAACTCGCTGACGCTCTCTCGCGAGCAGAGAGAGAGAGAGAGAGAGAGAGACAGGAGATAAACGAGAGGAGGTCCTACGTGTATTAAGTCCGTCGTAATCTCTTGCAACGTCCTTCACGTCCATCGTAAATCTTAAGTGAATTAAAATGCAGGAACAGCAATGGGAACGGCTGACTCGAAACTCATCGCGTTTACGTCGAGCTATCGATTTCCGATTTCGGAGGCTTATAGTAAGAGAAAAAAAATCGAGATAATTTGCTGAAAAATATCGGTCTACATTTTCCGATGAGGATGATTAAATGAGACGAAAAGTTCTTTCCTTAGAAAATGTAACTCATAACTGAAAAAGATATTTCTCATTTTATTTTCTAAATAATCAATAATATTAATTTTTTTTTAATCACAAAGAAAAAGGAAGTTATATAAAAATTTAATTTGTTTTAATCTGGCTCAAAAGTTTTTAAGATATATTGTATATATATATATATATTTTTATATCTTTCTTAAAGTTTTAAGATTTTAAACCCTTGAATAGAATCTCATCCTAGACCAAAATTGAGGAAAGAAACTGGTGCAAAAGTGCACTAAATGCCTGAGGCACGAGAAAATCGCTTTTAAAGTTCGAGGTCGTGCCGCTGCATCAAATTTCCTGGAAAGTCCCTACGACAAGATGGGTCGAGAAATTTTTGTGAGATGAGCGAGGGAAACAAGTTGGATAGGTCGGCATCCGATTTAATTTTGAGATTCTGCAAGCAAGTCGTTTCAGAGGATGTATCAGCATCGTTCTGATTTTTCACTGACGATTTAATACAGCTTTAATGGCGTTAGCTTCATTTCATTTGACTTTTCTTCATCGCCTGACGCGATCACATTAATTGCGCCGAGAATTTTTTTGACCTAAATATAAAAAATATATCTATAAATATTTTTCTACTTTAGTCGAATATTTAACTAAAATTTAAACAACCTTTGAATTTGATTATAAAAGTTTAATAATTATAAGTTATACATTTTAAAGTAGATATTAAGCATTTTATAGAACTTCCATTAGTAAATATTACAGTTCTTGATGCTGTAGGAAAAATTTTCAGACAAGTCTTTGTAAGTAAGTTTTAGCAGAAAATTTAAAACGTACTATATGTAAATATTTGACGTAAATTATATTACGCAATTTGAGAAATATGTATTTGCGTAATATTTCTCCATCTCGTTTCAAGATTTTACGACTCATATATATGATTTATATACCGAAATAATATATCCAACAAAAAGAGAAAATAAAGTCTATGCAAATGTATATTTGTCTATACGTATTTTTTTGTAAATATAGACAGAGAGTCAGAGAATAATTTGTTTAAAAAATTTAAGGAGATTTAAGGTGATTTTTTCTGAGAAGCGCAGCTTCTCATCTTTGCATCTTGTGCATATATTTTCTGCAATCTCAGGAGAAATAAATAATTCTGAACTAGATGGAATGTAAGGACACTATTATAGCACCTGATCGAAGATGCGTTCTTCAAGACACGAATTGTAGTCACGATTAGACGGTCGATCTGCCCTCTAATCGCCGGATAGCTGTCTCGATTATGGAAGACATTGCACAGTCAGCCTCGTAATAGCTGCTTGCGATGTACCGCAATCAATAGATAATTGGCTCCCGGATGTGTATACGCGTTACATGCAAGGTGATATCTCCCGCGAACATATTAATTCTGGAATCTCTAACGCTCACCTATTAGCATTAATGTACAGTTTTACGCTTAAAGAATCAGATTGCGACAGATGATTCGCGACAGCGGTGCGCGAAAAGAAATTGAAATGTCCTGCGATAAATCGACTGCGGTAATCGCATGCAAATTTTCGCGCTTACGAAAATTGCACCGATAAGTAGCTGCTTTTGCGCGCGAATGACAAAATAACAACTTACTTTTCTAAACAACTGAGTAAGACCTTAATAAGGCGTTTGGCTCTAATTTGCCGTTTAAATTTAAAAGTTTAAACCAATAATTAAAGGGATAAATAATTGTTTCGACCAATACTGGCTAGTTAATATTTAATATTTAATGAACCACAATGCTCATTATGTTACCACCGCTCGACAAGATGTTTTATTCGCACAACAATATTCACTGTTTTTAATTTTAAGTTTACACTTGAGAAGGATCAAAACCCATGGTCGAAACGTTGTGATTTATTAAATATTAAATATTAACTAGCCAGTATTGGTCGACAAAATTATTTATCCCTTTAAAATTTTAAATCTACTTGCGTAATATTTCTCCATCTCGTTTCAAGATTTTACGACTCATATATATGATTTGTATACCGACATAATATATCCAACAAAAAGAGAAAATAAAGTCTATGTATATTTCTCTATACGTATTTTTTTGTAAATACAGACAGAGAGTCAGAGAATAATTTGTTTAAAAATTTAAGGAGTCTTCCATAAGGATGCTTGTAAATTTTTTAATTTTAGATTAATTTTTGCGTTTTTTTTCGTGCTTGTTACAGGTACGCGGATCGTTCTTATAGGACCCATCCGCGCGGCCTGATCATATACGGTCCGGCAACCGCGGTGCCGAGTTTAACCGGGGGTGGCAATGTATCCTCGACGACGATACTCTCAATACTGGCCAAGGGTCTGTCGAATTCGTCCAGATTCGAGCCTGTGCCAACCAGAAATCTGGTCGGCGGTAGTGGAGCAACGCGAGAACTTCCGGTTGCGAACGCGACTAATAACACGACGATGCCACGATGTCCTCTCATCCCACCGAATCTGGGTAAGTCTGCAAGAATCGATATAGAGATTGCGAGACTTATTATTCTTTCTATTAAAATTATAATCAGAAAAAAAGTCAAAGAAAAAAATTGAATAATATTCTAGGCGAATTAAAAAGTAATACTATATGTACGAACAGTTTGTGTATTTTAATAGCACATCTGTTTTACAGAGAATCTTATTAAAATGCATTTGTAAGATTGAGAGGTTTATCCTCTTTTAAGATTGTACAACTGTCTTAACACGCATTAATGATCGATTTTTAATTTAATTTATTTGATAACTAAAAAAATAATTTATTAATAATTGTTTAATGAACTATTCTCATCATAAAAATAGATTCAAAGAATCTATGTAGTACATGTCTATATATAATATATAAACAAAATTTGACTTGCTTTTCCTGTTTTACAGAGAATCTTATTAAAATGCATTTGTAAGATTGAGAGGTTTATCCTTTTTTAAGACTGTACGACTGTCTTAACCCGCATTAATGATCGATTTTTAATTTAATTTATTTAATAACCAAAAAAAATAATTTATTAATAATTGTTTATAATGAACTATTTTCATTATAAAAATAGATTCAAAGAATCTATGTAGTACATGTCTATATATAATATATAAACAAAATTTGATTTGCTTTTCCTGTTTTACAGAGAATCTTATTAAAATGCATTTGTAAGATTAAGAAGTTTATCCTTTTTTAAGACTGTACAAATGCCTTAACCCACATTAATGATCGATTTTTAATTTAATTTATTTAATAACCAAAAAAATAATTTATTAATAATTGTTTAATGAACTATTCTCATCATAAAAATAGATTCAAAGAATCTATGTAGTACATGTCTATATATAATATATAAACAAAATTTGACTTGCTTTTCCGAATGCATTTCTCGAATCATCCTTGCAACCCTCTGCCCTTTCTGTTCCCAGTTGGACCGGTGGCCGTCAGTAAGTCACCGCCACCGTTGTCTGAGATGGAGAGGTCATTCGTGGAGGTGAAGGCAGGCGGCAGGGGTCGGCCAGCGGATTGCATCGCCAGGCATCGTGTCGCCATAATCATTCCATTCCGCGACCGACCGCAGCATCTGCAGACCCTTCTCTACAATCTGCATCCGATCCTACTGCGCCAGCAGATCGAGTATCAGATCTTCGTGATCGAGCAGGAAGGTAAGTCGATTCGTGAACGTTCGCTCGCCAAACCGTCCATTTCTTCGTTCACCGCAAATGCGTTTCTCATATATATACGGGAAACTGCGGCTTTAACTGCGGTTTCTTCGTGTTATTCATCGCGATAGTCATTCATTCACCATTTTTCCATTTATTCACCAGACAACTCCACAATTATTTTTGCACCTGTATTATTATGTATTTCACAGATCTTTACGCGCGATTTTATTATTTAAATTAAATATATACGTGATTTTTGATAAATCCTCCGGTTATGAATCTCGATGCAATTTGCATTTAAATAAAAGAATCGAAATCTCTAGTTGAATTCATTTCAGCAGACAAAGTCCACAATTATTTTTGCACCTGTATTATTACAGTTTCAGATCTTCACGCACGATTTTATTACGTTATTATTGAAATTAAATTACGTGATTTTATAAAACTTGCGGTTTTATGGATCTCGATGCAATTTGCATTTAAAAAGAATCGAATCGCTAACTTGCACGATTCATTTCGGCGAAACGGTGAATATTTATTCGCGAGCCGACACAACGGACGTTCTATTCTTATGGTATCCTCCAAAGCACACGGTTTGTTTCCGCGGAGCGAATATAAACGTACGATTTTCCCGGGCATCTCTTCTCCGGCACCGTTGGTGCGTGTAAGTCGATACTTTGCTACGATTTATTGCCGTCTAGCGGACGTTCCTCTTGCCCGTGTATTTTCCTGTTTGTCGCTCGGAACGGAGACCCTCCTACCGGAAGTGAAGGAGAATGTCGACGGAGCAGGAGTCGCAAGAGAGGCTGCTTCAAAGTTCTCGTCGTAGAGAACTCTCTAAGCTCCTCTCGACTTAATTTTTAATTAAATTTGTGTAAAGGTCGTATATCTTTCTTTTTTCTCTCTCTCTCCGATATCTATATCTTCTCGAATAATCGATCGACCGAAACAACGTGAGCGCGTTTCCGAGCAAAACGACGCGAAATATAATTCCACCGGTTATTTCTTAATGAAATTTTTGAAGAGCTTTTTTTCTGAATTTTTATTTGGCGTGTCGCGGGTGTAGTTGTTTCTGTCAGTTTATTTAACGACGGTATGTGAGGGTGCACTTCCGCGAAAGCATCTCGCCGACATTGGCCTTACATTGTAATTACATTCCTAAAATCTTAATTACAAAGTCTGTTATGAGCTGCTTCACGAGATATTTTATGACGTGCTCTTAAGCTGATGATTATAAAATACGACTCTTGCAGTAATTTGAGAAAGAGATAAAGGATGCGTGAATAAATATCACGACATAATATGAGCGTGATGTTCTCATTCACGTGAGTGGAAAATCATAAAATATTTTTAAATTCTTCTGTCACTTTTTATATGTAATTATTTATATAATAATATGTATTTAGTAATTTTTATATTGAACACTTGCAATTAATAAATTTGAAAATATTTATAATTAATACGAGAAAATATTGTATTCATTAAATTATTAATGTTTAATAACAAAAATGTATACAATTATAAATTACACCTATATTCTTATAAATAATTTTGAGATGGTACACAAATTTAAATTTGATTTTTGTATCTTAAAGTGATTGATTAAATTATTATTTTGAAGAAAAATTTAAGCAGATTAGCAGATGATATCCTTGGTTGGGATGCAAAATCTATCATTTTCCATTCACTCATCCTAGAAAATGCTATTTATCTTAGATATTAGAAAGCTGTGAGAGAGAAAGAGAGAAGAGAGGAGCAGGCTCGCAATTTATCTTCATTAAAATTGCGAAACGCTTGAGTAAGTTTGTTTACTTACTGCATATGCGGATGTCAAAATATGACTATGATTAATTCTCTTGTTATTTCATGCAACGCTTCTGCACACTTTCGGTACACGCATGATGCTCAATGAATTTACATGCAAGAGGAAAGCTTTGCATGTTATAAACAAAATTATTTCTGAATAGTTAACATCTAATTTGTTATTAAAATTAATTCTAGTACGTCGACGTCGTCTATTTTCCGCATATTTCAGTAAAAATTAAAAATAAATCATTTCTTTTCTAGAAACTAATAATTAATATTAATTTAAATGTAATTAATACGTTTTGATAATTAATCGGTGTATTGAAGAGACTTTGGGGGATATCTTATATTGATATTCACATTTCACGTCGCTTGTTGCAATTAAATTTAGCATCGATTTCATATTTGATACTGTCCTTTGTTGCTGTACAACGATCTCCAATTATTTTAACAGAGCCAATATTACTTCCGATATTCATTTCGTTGTATACTATATATTCGAAACGTTCCTCGAAAATGTCGGTGCAATTTAATATGGTTTCCGTTGGAAAGTTTTAATACGGAATTTCTGATGGAATCCTAAATCCGATTTCATTCACATTTCTCCGCTTGGTGTGCAAGCGGATATGGATAAAGAAGAGACGGCTGTTTCGCCATTTTTTAGCACGATTAAACGTTCTACGACGGAAAATGTCGAATAAAAATGTATAATTGCGTTGATATTATAGTAAGAGAAAATACAATTACGTCAAATTTAATATTAAATATTCCTTTATGTCTATATTATTTTTAAAAAATTTTTGTTTATATTATCTATAGTTGAAATATTTTTCTTTTATTGATTTTTGTTTTATTGATCGCGTATGAAAAACGGTAACTTTCGCGAATATATCTTGAATGTACGCAACAGTTCGTTGCGAATAAAGGATTAATAGGCAAAGTCTTTCATTCGATTCATCGAAGTTATTTCAATTGGTTCGCTATTATGTTGTAATGGCGTTAATTTACAACAGATCGCTGGGCAATGAATTTTCGCGATAATTTAACGAAGACGATATTTCACCGCGCCGGTACGATTAATTACGGCGAAACAGCAACAATTTATTCTCGCCGTTGCCGCGCGCGAGCTGGAGAAAATGCGCCGAACTGTTATTCACTGTCAAGCTGCTTTGCCCGAAGACCTCGCGTAAGTCAGGCTTAAGTGCTATCTAATCCTGGACTTTGCTCGACCAACTGTCGTTTTCCCGCGTTTTCCGCAATGCAGTAATATCGAGGACAAAATCGTAGATTCACAAGTGCATTCGTATATACGTATGCAGGAAAATTCATTCAGCCCTTAATCTAGAAATTTATATAATAAAGTATATTACATAGATATTTTTGTCAGTTTAATCAATTGAAGATTTCAGTGCAAGAATGATCTAAGTTTTACTTTTAAAAAAATAATGCAAAAAAATCTTCCTGTAAGAATAGCAGAGAAAAATTGCCGGATGAAAGTGCGGCAAGATTTGTTGGTAATGAAAAAGTATAGTTCTCATATCTATAATATAGCACAATAAAGCATTGCTATTATTTACTTTTCTTAGAATGAATTTTACCTACATACATCATACTGACAAGTATTTCAAGATTGTCTTAGTTTTTCAAAAATATTGAAATAAAAGAATATCGAGTCATTTTAATATCACGACATGCGCAAATTTCAATTTTTATCAATATACTTTTTTAATTCTACAATTAGACAAGTAAATTTGCAAGGAGCGCTAAAGTCTTTCAAAATAATTTTCTATATAATATAAGATTATAACATCAGTTATATCAGTTATTATTCGCTTTATTACGTATATGCATGCTACCTCTCGTAAGTACAATTGCATAATTGCACCAGAAAACGAACCGGACGATGGATCTTGATTATCGTATACGCAATCCACATGTGGCACGAATACCGTAACTATCTGTATATGTGCAAAGTCACGATCATTCGTCAAGTCAAGCTTAAAGATGCATAATCCAACCACTTATTCATCAAGATAACGATGCATTGATGTATAAAAAGATTAGCTAACTAATGAATAGAAATTTTTAATCTCTTACATATAAAAATATAAAGATGTATAATTCCATATTAAAAATAACAAAAATGACAATATAATAAAATAATATAAAATTGCACTTTTTATGTATATAAAATATTTCATGAAATATTCTCTCTTTTTCTGCATCGATAAAATTTTTAAATAAATTTTTTCATATTGCACATAAGATGCATAATCCAACTACTTATTCATCAAAATAACGATGCATTGATGTATAAAAAAATTAGCTAACTAATGAATAGAAATTTTTAATCTCTTACATATAAAAATATGAAGATGTATAATTCCATATTAAAAATAACAAAAATGACAATATAATAAAATAATATAAAATTGCACTTTTCATGTATATAAAATATTTCATGAAATATTCTCTCTTTTCCTGCTTCGATAAAATTTTTGAATAAAATTTTTCATATTTTTAAAATTATTCAAAATTGCTTTTGTTCGTATGAAACTCGAGTGTCGAAGGTTTATTGATATTGTGTGCGCATGCGCTCTCGAATTGACGCAGTTTTAATTGTCTCAAATGAGTCGGACACGGTCGCGCTTGGCCGCAATTTAGAAATTCAAATTTCGAAATCTCTCTCTCTCTCTTTTACGTTCGTCTCTTCTCCACGCTTCGGCTCGGGATTAAAGCGGAGTCAGCCACTGAATACTTCGCTTTTGCATAATTAGTGCCGCGCTGAATATTTATCGGATCGACTCGCGCAGGGGCCATCGAGAGGATCAACGGCGAAGTCGCGACAGTCGTTTCCAGTAAGCCCGATCGAACGACTACGGGCCGATCAGGAAATTAGATTCATGGCGTACTTCCCTCTGGCCCGAACAAAATCAATTCCTCGATACTGGATAAGAGTATTCGGGAAGGATGTCGCAGAGACGAGAGACGTTTCCATCGGAAGTGTTAATCTCTCGTGTATTTTCTCGATATTACATTTCCCATTTGAATTTTTGACCCAGATACATAAAGATAAAATATCCTTGAATAATATTAAAGTAGATAATAATTCAATGATAATATTGTATTTGATAATGACGAAATAATCATAAAAAATTGAATAAATAAGATATTTCATCTGGGTTGATATTAACTTTGGATAGATCGATCTGGACAGATAAAACAATAGGTATTATATCGTTAGGAAAAATTTCTGTTAAATTGAACAGATATCACAAACGGTCCACAGAAATTTTTGTGTTAATTTAACATAAAATGGATATGTCAAATCATCATTTGTATGAAACACAAAATACTGTGTTACATAGTTTTAATCTAAAAGTTAATTTAAAAAATATGTTAATTTCAGATTTTCATATTTCAGATTAACACTTATATTATAAAATAACAAAAATCAACATTTTTTCTCTAACTTTTATTAGATAAATCTTGTCGCTAATATATATATAAGACAGAACATATTTATTGTATAAAATTAAAAAATAGATGCACATTGTGTTATTTTTACATCTTTTTTCAATTGTTTGAATAATTTAACATTCAAGTTCAATTAACACAACTGCAATATGTTAAATTAACACATGAATGCGTTAAATATTTGACACAAAAAATTTTTTGACAAGAAAACACTAATTTTCTTACTGTGTACATAGAATAATCAGTCATCATCCGATATCACGAATATCATAGTTCTGCGAAATATAAGGAAAGGAGACAGGATCTTCTTCGTGAATATCTGCTACCGGAAAAGAGATGATATTCTTAAGATACGCGTTTCTCTCGGACACAAACATAATTAGTTGCACCTGTCGCTGCTCCAGGCATTCTCTCGCTCGATACAGAATCCGCCTGTTAATATTGCTCGGCTAGAACTGTCGGAAACATGGAACATACATTTATTCGAGAGAGAGAGAGACTCTTATTATCGTAACTATCGGGACCCTTATTATCGTATACAATCATTAACAGGGACATGTCCGTCCGGCCTTCGATACCAAGGAAATCCGCTTATTCTCTCTGTCGTTCGCGAAGAGGTGTTCGTTAAGCTCTATAGTTACAATCAGGAATGCAATCGACTGTCTTTTTGCGTGGACGAAATGGTGGGAAAGTACAGACAGCGACAATTCCCAGGCATCAAAACTCGTCTTAGACAATCTATCTTGCGACAAAAATTCGCGATAGAATTCTATTTATAATTTTGCGGAATTGTATGGAAAACATTTTAAGAAATAAAACATATATTTATGCAAAATGCATATATATCTATGTATTTTAAGTTATACAAAATTAGATGACACGCGTATATGCACTCGTCAAAATAATTAAGGGATAAAAAATTGTCCAAAAATAAGCACATTTTAAATAGCTGTAACTTTGTTTCGAAAAATCATAATTTAAATTTTAAAAAAGATTTTGAAGCTTGAAATCTACTTTTGAAAGGTCATAGCTTTTTTTTTGCTTCAATTCTGATATTCTTTACATACAGAAAAGACGAACATAACAAATTCTCATTTTTCGAAACTAAGTTACAGCTATCTAAAATTTGCTTATATTTTGGACAACTTTTTTGATCCCTTAATTATTCTGAGGAGTGTATATTAAAATATGGGATGTAAAATTATAAATGAATATCTTTTTAGAAATTTGTCAAGAATTATAAATCGTCTAAAATAGGTTTCAGGTGATAGAAAGTTGTCTCTTCAATCAAATGATAAATAAATTCATGAATAATTAATATCACTATTTTGGGAAGTTTATATTTCGTCATCATTACGAAAATTAAAATTTTTCGAGCTAAATATATATATGTACATAATAACGCGGAACAGAGCAAAGTACGACGAGATATTTCAAAAATTTAAGTATATACCAGAGATACAAGACAGACGTTCTTTCACACTTTGAATAAGCGTGACAGCGCATATCATTATATCGCAGACACAATTCTTTCAAACGAATAAATAAGCGACGACTCCGCGAAAGCGGATATGGAAATGAATCGAGCTTGTTGCTAGTTGAAGGAGACTACCTGTCGAGACAAGGTACTCACCCAGACGATCTTCATTAGTATTTACTAGAATCGCAAGAAGAGAGCCTATCGCGAACGTTAATAAACGGTTCGTCGCTTTTCATCGTTGCGCCGCAGCTGGGTCCTTTTGACGTAATAATTATGCGGCGGAAGTAGCGACGAATTGACGGAAACGAAAGACAAATGCGAAGTGGATTTCGTATTTTGCGATACGAGATGATGATTCGATAGAGCAGCACTTTTTAATTAAAGATCAACTGAGAGACGAATTAATTATTCGACCCGAGATGAAAGTTGTTGATTAAAGTATAGCGATACGCGCTTGCAATTAATCTTTTTGAAAATTAGTTTTAATATACGTACAGAGAATTTTCTCTTAGAATTTATCCCGAAAATTATGGTAATCGGGGAACGATATGTTGGTATTGGAAGAATTTTTTTAAAAAGTTTCTCTAATTAATATTTACCAATAAAAATATTAATATTCTGCTACAATAAGATATAAAACATATTGATTAATTTTATTATGTACATACATAGTAAAATCACAGAAATTTATAAAAATTTTCTAATACCATATTATTCCACTATTACCATAATTTTCAAGATAAATTCAACGAGAAAATTCTCTCTGTGTGCACTTAAGAATAAGAAAGGATTCACTTCAGTAAGTGCAAGATTCATCTTGCTTGTGCGATTTTAAAACATCTAAAAAAAAACTACTGTCTAGACTATAAAAATTCTATCGCGAGAAGCAGCAATAATGTACAATGTTTCCTATTTTTTCTTTCGGCTAAATCGCACGTCGCTTTCATCATTTGCATTTCTATTTCGTCCGAGAAGCGTATAATTGTGTCTCTTTCAGGAGACGAATAAATAATGTCGCAGATAGACGAAGAAGAGAGAGCGTTTCGTCACAAACACCATTACAGATCTCTTGACATTTACATTTCTTTTTTTCAGATCGAAACCGTGTTTCTCTCTCGCGCTTCTGCGCGGATGAATTTCCATTTCTCCCAGTTGCGAAATTGTTTGCCGCACCTGCGTTCCTTTATTGTCTCGCCCACCGCCCCCGTTTATCCTCGCCCTTTTATCGCATCCCTTTTTACTTCGTCGCCGACGCGATATAAAGAAATGTCTGAAATACCTGGAATAAACTTGCGCCGAGACACTTTTCGTCAAGAGACAGAGAGAAACAAGACTGTTTATATTCGCGTCTTTGGCGAGGTCCTTGGCCTCCTCGTGAGCCCCCTTTATTCTTCTCTCTCTCTCTATATATATATATGTATATATAAAATGGTCGTTTAAGAGATATTCGATCGAGCGCGAGGTCTATTCAGCCAATAATAATCGATAACGGGTGGGAGAGATGCAGTCATTACCAGTAGCTTTGAGAGCATTAGCCTTTGCCTCTTCGCTCTTTGAGGAGGAACCTCATGCCAGGCCTCGTAATTATTTTCAAATAAACGACGGTAGACGAACGACAACGACATTAGGTCTCGTTAGATTCCGTCTATCTTCTCGCACGCTCTCTCTCTCTAAGGTCTCTTCGTTTTCTTCATCCTCCGTACAAAGTACTTACAGCATCCGGTAAACTCAACCTAGGAATCCTCTGTGCAATTTAGCGTAGACAGCAAATGCTAACAGAAACATTGATTAATTTATGCACGCGGAGTTGAGATATACTTTTATTAAAGAATTTAATTTAATTTAATTTTTTCCCGCTTCAGAGACTTTTCGAACCTATATTTTTCGCGCCTATTTCTCCTTATGTAAGTTTCGAGATTAATTTATATATGGAACTTAGAGATCTCAAACCAAGAGATACGGTTCCGAATAATTAATTTTTCGTGCTTTGGCTTTGTTGGCCGATTTAAAAAAAAAAATTTATATTTATATTCTTTCTGATTTAATTTAATTTAATTTTTATTAAACTGTTTTTTTTGTGATAGAAATAATGTCGTAGATTAATTTAGAGAATAAAAAGTTGTTTTCGTCTTAATTGCGCACTCGAGTCGATTCTAACATTTAATTATAAATCCTAACTCCTAGAAGATAGAACGACAAGCAGATGGCAGGAGATATGAAGAAAATTTGACAAAGTTGTTCCCTACATGTGACTTTTGTCCACGGCACCGGAACAAACGCGAAGACAGGATAAGATGCGAAACTTTTAATTGCCAGACGAATTACGTTAAACACTGTTCTTTCAACAAGTCTCGCAAAGCAGTCTCAAATCTACAGCAATTTGTACGCGCGCTTCACTCATCCTTTCTGAAAAAGATCAAGACTTTCGTCGGTCTTCAAACAAGTCTGCTATATAGCGATTTTGTTAAGAAAGTTTTTCACAAAACACACCGATTATTTGCAGTCAGGAACGACTTTGATAGCTTACAGTAGATTAAATTATCTAATTAACGTTCGTAAATTAAAGAGCGCTTAACAATTTACTAACTGTTTCATTAAATACTTGATTAACAATGGAATATTTTTGTCAAAAAGAATTTAATATGGATTTTTATTCGCGAACGTTTTGAATGCTTTGACTGATTGCGATTTATTAAATTTTTTACTTTGATAGAAAATTATTTCAGCTTACTCTTACTCCTTTTATTTTTGTTTTCTAAAAATTTCAAGTAAACTTATAAAATTTTGAATATCAAGAGTTTGAAATAAAATCTATTGATGTTTTATTGTCAAAATTGTATTATTATATTATAATTATAATTTCTTAACCAAAAATTTTTTAATTTATAATCAATGAAAAGATTAGATTTTTCTACAAAAAGAAAATCTCGATTATTGTTTTGTCTTTCTAATTTAGAAAAATAGTTCTGTTGAACCATATAAAACTAATTTCATTTATTATTTCTGCTTTGAAAGATTTAAGTATATGTTTGTAGAAAATTGCATTATATCGTAATATAACTTGTATAAATTTAATTATAGTATTTAAGTTCTAATTGTATTACAATATTTACCATCATTCTCTGCCCTCAGGTACCGGAGCCTTTAATCGAGCAATGCTTATGAACGTCGGCTATGTGGAAGCTCTGAAAGAAAGAATCTTCGACTGTTTCATCTTTCACGATGTTGACCTACTTCCGGAGGACGATAGGAATTTGTACACCTGTCCCGAACAGCCCAGACACATGTCGGTCGCGGTGGACAAATTCAAGTACAGGTGAAAACGCAATTCTCTCTTCCATCTCTGCAAAATCAAATATTTTTAATTAAGATATAAAATATAATTAGAAAATAATATAAATTTATATTTATATTATATTATATATTTATATAAATTAATAATGATTTTTTTATATAAATATATATATATTATATATATATATATATACAATAAAAACTAACATTTTAAATAGACGAAATAATTTCAATCTTACTAATATCGATTTAGATCTATAACATACATGCATATAGTTTGAGTATTTGACACGAGATAATTTTGTTTCTTTTTCGAGATCTGTTTTTAATCTCAAAATATTCGTTCCTCAGATTACCTTACGCTGACCTTTTTGGCGGCGTGTCCGCAATGTCGCGCGAACACTTCCAACTGGTAAACGGCTTCAGCAACGTCTTCTGGGGTTGGGGTGGCGAAGATGACGATATGGCGAATCGCATCAAGGCTCACGGCCTGCATATCTCGCGCTATCCGGCGAACGTCGCGCGCTATAAAATGCTCACGCACAAAAAGGAGAAGGCCAATCCGAAGAGGTGAGGTCGAAAACAAGTCACTATCTTTCATCTAGAATATAATTAGCTTTCTAATACCGCGATAATAAATATTTGTTGTTTGACAGGTACGAGTTCCTGAAAACAGGCAAGAAGAGGTTTTCCACTGACGGACTAGCCAACTTGCAGTACGAACTGAGCGATAAACGGAAGCCGAAATTATACACATGGCTTCTTGTGAGACTGACGCCACCGCAGCCTAGCTGATGGCTACCCTGGCTCGGCTGAAGACTCCTGCGCGCCAAGTTTACACCGAGTAGCAGGATTGTTCGCGTTGCGAGAGCGCACGTCTTTAGAGTTTGCCATTCATCGATGGAACAAGATCAAGGACAAGAATCATTTGTGCGAAATCCGTTTGCGAGAGAAGCGCGGTGTCTTTCTCCTAAATATGCCGATTCGTTGACGAGAAGAGGTTTCGAGTGCACTGGCTATTTGTATCCTTAACTGACCTAGCCGCAGACACTTCTGGCACATCCGATGCATAGTGCGATTCGTTAAAAGTAAAAAGCTCGAATAAGAAATGTTTTGTAAGATTTCGTAACCCTTAATTAAGAAAAATTCCATACAGTGATATAACATCTATGTATTTAGAATCTTTCTGCGCCATTCACATTTCCCCGGAAATTGATCGTTTTTTATATTCTTTCCTTTTCCATCGAACAATGAGAGAAAATTAATAAAGCAGAAGAAATATGTCATTTGCATATTGTATTATTGGGGAAGGACTATGTAAAATGAACAATTCCGGGAAGTTTGGCGCGCAGGAGACGCGGAAAGATCATTGCGAAGCTAGAGCGCGTTAAGGGTTATGAAGAAGAGAAAGATGCTTTCATATAGGAGTTGTCGAGTATCTCGCCGCTGCGGGAGGGCCTCTCCCTCAGTTTGCCCCTTCTCCTAAGGGAGAAGGACGTTGTTACGTGATATATTTTTATTCCTCATATTTTTTTATCGCGACGATAGGCTAGAGAGCGAGTAGAGAGTAGCATACGAGCTGACGTGCCAAAGGAGAGAATGTGTGTGTGTGCGTGCTGTGCGAGAGATAGTACGAAAGAGAAGGAGAGAGAAAATACGAGGAAAAAATCGCGAGAGGATGAGGAAGCTCGAGTATCCTTCTTAAAGCCAAGCTACGATATTATATACAAAGCAAACTGTCGTCGCTATTGAGGGAACTTTACAGAGCTTCCATTTTTACGACTTATATGTCCTATCCACCGTTAGGCGATCATCGTGCACGATAAGTCTCGAAAAAAAAGCAACCCGGATAATGAACCTGAGAAATCGTACGATAGCCTATTAATAATAATGAGTCAGCCAGTAATTCATCTTGAATATTTAATGTGAAAGTTAGCAGAGACGACCTTCAGATTCTTCCACGCTAATGAGAAATTAAACCGTATGATTCTAAAGATAGAGTGGATTAGAGTGCGTAATGAAAGAAAGAATATATAAGAGAGAGGATAATATTGCGGATAAAGTTTCTCGTGGGCTAATCATGCGAGACGTAACGCGAGAGGTTCTGAATCACTTTTCAAGGTCGTGTATCACTCGTTAAACCTTGATCCAAGCGCGTTCTAAATTTGTAACACGAGCCTCGGGAACTTATGTTTTTACGAGGTTGTAAATTATCAGTTTAGTTTGTTGCGAGAGATTGATTTCTCGGTGAATATGAGCGAGAACGGCTCTGTGAAACGAAGAAATGGTACTTAATTGTTTGATAGTGTGAGGATACGCATACTTTGCGTATATTTAGATATGAAATAGAGTTATTTGTTTGCCTCAAAATATTAAAAATTCATCAGTATAAAAATCATATTTTTCTTTTAACAGACATGGATTGATCTTCAGGATTTAGTTACAGAAATATCTCAAACGATCTTTAGCAGTTTCTAATTAACATCAGATAAACATTTAACTTTAGTTTATCCATTGCAGTTCTTTATTTTCGTATAAAACTAGAATCAAGAAGAAATGAAGAACCACTTAAGAGCAGTAATTGAAAAACTTTGACAAATACTTTTCTAATAAAACATGAATTATTTAATTAACCCCGATCAACAGATGTTAACGGTTGCTTAAACGAGATAATGTGAATATATATCTATTAAATGATTGAAATCCACTTGAATATACGCGAACGGCAAGGTTTATACGCGAAATGATAGCGAGCGCAGTCAAGACTTAGGATACACTAACATATCACGTCTTGTCATAGAGTGAGTAGTAAGAAGACACGTGTAAAGCTTCACGTTCATGTGTGGACAAGCATACTTAAGCATTAGGCGCAAGCGAAAGCACGGGCTGTGAATAATGCATGTCTTTTGTGGCTAAAAGGATCACGATGAGAGAAGCTCAGGAGGATATAAACTCGTAATTAACATTTTCTTTTCTTTCGCGTTGCGCAACCAATCGCAATCGATCGATACTTATCCCCGTCAAAACTCTCTGAATCCACTCACTGCTTTTCAAAGCTATCCAACTTATTACTTCACATTAGCTTTGATAAACCTTATTGAAATTTTCACTGGATGTTAATCTCGATTTTTAGCAATAGCAAAGGAAACTATTCTCATAATTTTTTTAGTGATTTAGTTAATCTAAATTTGATAAAAAAATTAGTAAGAAACTTGTGTATCTAATTAATTATTTAATTAATTGCCCGCTTTTCATTTATAAATAAAGAAATCGTAAATGCGAAGTGATAAGTTGCAGAATTGCTTGGGACAGGATTCAACTGATGTTCGCGTTGTATAAAGTGGCACGTGCATGAAGATTCCGACGGAAAAAAGATGCGAGATATTGAATATATGCGTTTGATGCGTTCCTTTTATCGCCGTTCCTGTGATTAAACATTCCGATATCGTTATTCGATATGTACATATGTAATCAGTTCGTTTTGTTGTTTTTGCGTCATCTGACTTTATCCCCTCAGACATAAGATTTAAATTGTGTCGCTGCGTATTCTTGTAAAATTAAATTATTTAAATTTAAAATGGTTTTGTATTTTTTTGTCAAAAAATATTTAAAAATTGATTACATTCTTACAAAAAGAATTCGATTAAGAGTTGCGAGAAAGAGTAATTTTCAGGATTTCATTAAATAAGAAAAATAGAAAAATAAAAGTATTTATAATAATTGTCTTTTTGTATTTATATCCTGTTTTATTGTTAGTTTTAAAATTTACTGTTACTCAATATTAGATTTAAGTTTAATGCTAAAAAAACTTCATATAAAAAAGTTAAGAACATTGAATGAAAATACAGAATATAAAATAATTTGCATTCCGAAAAGATAGATAATTTAGAACAGAATAAAAAGAGTCTGAGGAGGATAATCTAGAGTTATTGTAGAAATGTAATATTTTGTTGAGAAATTTTATAAGAATTATCTCGAATATTCTTCGTTATGCGACTTAATAATTAATTTGTTACCGAACAAAAACATAGGAGACGAGCGATGCGAAGGAGAAACGGTTCGAGATAATATTTCAATAGCTTAAAGAAAACGTTGTATTATATAATACTACTATTATCAAATAATCAGGAATACCTAAGATAAATTAAGACAGAGGTGAAAGAAAATAATTCAATGTGCTCTCGAAAAAGAAGTATAAGTCACAATTACAGGAATATTAAAAATTAAATCAATATTAATTATAATAAAAAATTATATTTTATCTAATATCCTAATATATCTAATATATTAACGATATAAAAATACTTTATTAAATTAAATTACTTAAATTGTCATAATTATATAACAAATCAAAATATAATTTATCCGTTATTTTTCTGACTTATACTCCATTTCTCGAGCACGTTTTGTATGACGTGTCGCGTAGAAACGATCCGACCGCGATACTAGAATGTATATAACGAAAAAAGATTTTTTGTTGTTTAAGAATTGTAATTAAACTAAATTTTTTCCTTGTATTTTAGGAATATACGACCGGATTAATTTACGTGAGACACTCCGCTAGGCAAATTTGGTGCTTTCGATTGCCGTACGAGATTTTCGCAGGATATAATTATCCTGTTCTCTTGCATTTTTGCGAGCACTTTGAGAGCTTCCGTCGAGAAGACGAGACTTTTATACGTATCACTATACATCTTGCACATAGATTTTTGCGCACATAATGCGGAAAATAATTTAGAAGAATTATTTATCGAGAAAGAAGGATTATTTTTTTGCGATAATCGTGAGAGAGAGTTACGTAGTTTTACGGTCAATTTATCATTACTACATCGTTATTGTTACGCTAGGTTGATAAGAAATCGTTTGGAGCGTGGAATGTAAATATTTTTTAACATTCATCGTTGTTGCGAAATTGTGGTTCTCGTACGGCATGTTCGATTATTAAACACCAATTTCAGCAAAGACGAGATAGTGATTAGAGATATAAGTATTGCATATAAAGAGTAATCACTAAGTATTTATATGAGAAGGTAAGGACAGAAAAAGAGGTGCGAGAGAAAAGAGGTAAGCGTGTATAATAATGTATATTATACATATATACGCTAATTAGAAGCGTCAGGGGAATTTTCAAAGCGCGGACACGAGGAATTTTCATATTGTTAATCGTAGATTAGATTGTTGACGCGAGATGCGAAAATATTTTACGAATATTCCGAAAAAGAATCTATTATTATGAATTTTAGAAAAGCGTTTGTGTAATATTATATAACTAGCAAAAAACAAGTCAGATTTGTCCAAATTTGTATTGTATATATATATACATATTTCAATCAAATATTTTGAGATTTTTCTAAATGTTATTAGAGTTTCTTTCTGTGTAGGAAGAATTTGTAAGAAAAATATCGTCAAAATGTTTCATAGAGTATTTTCCATTCTGATAATTATAATTTTAGGACATATAAAGATTCTCGGAATATTCTTAAAATATTTTTCAAATACTGTCCTTCATTGGAAAAATATCTTCTCGAAATATGTTCATTTCGCGTCACTTCCAATTATAAAATTATTATATCTTTCGAAAGAAATGATTGAGGTAGGTCCTTCTTCTTACCGAAGAAAAGTTTAAAAATAACCATTTTCAATGTTCATAAGTTAATCAAAAAGGAAAAGTTACAACATCCAAATAAATTGGCTAAAAAAAAACTATCTAAAATAAAATAATTCGAATAAATGCGTATAAATATAGAGACTGTCCTCGTGTACGTAATACTTGCTTCTTCTCGATTTAATCGGAACATTTGACAGACTATCTCCCGTTTGACAAATTACGTTCGTGATGTACTGGAACAATAAATTTCTGTTAAAACATATTTCTTTTTTTTTCATCTTTGATGCCGTGTCATCTTATCCTTGCTCGAGAAACAGATCTTACTCCCTCATGCTTGTGACAATAATCATCGAGAAATTAAAACGTGCAAATGTTAGTTTCTTTATAATTTCTAATGTAAATTAAAGTTATCAATATAGTGATAGAGGGATAATTAATTAATTATCGCGTGCGCAATATAAAATGGAATAAATCGATATTTGGATCTAAAGGATTGCAAAGAGGATAATTCCTTTTTTCCTGCGCCGGGATAAATTCTCATGAAACACACGTCAGATATGTATACGTATATTTGATTTGTGCTGCTTACGGACTACGAACATTTAGCGCAAAAAATGTATATAACATGTCCGTTGGTAAATACAAGTGCAATGAATCGTGTGCTACTAATGCGCAGCATAGAATAATGGAATTATCGTCGCGTGTTTCAAGATGACTATCAGCTTACATTTGAACGTCCAGGTTTACAGCTGATATATCATCTGTACGGAATAAAATAAAACTGTCTTTTTAATCCCTTCTTATAAATTATACACATAAACCTACTCTGACTTCCCAAAACTCTAATAGCTAATTTTCAATTATGACACTGAACAACGAATTTCGAGACTTACATAAACGACGATTTTAATATTACATAAACGACATAAACAACGATTTTAATATTTCTTATAGATTAAAAATAACAGTAATATGTGTGCTTTAAATTCTGATAACATATTTCTTAATCTAAAAATTCTAGTAAAAAATATTATGTGAAGATAAAAAATATTATAATATAAAATTCAGCATTTTTTTATATTAAACATTAATAAAAATTAACGAAAAATTTTGTAAGAGAATTTTGATCGAAGAGGGATTAATATGACTCAAAATTTTTAAAAATTAACATTTTTTAAAATTACGTATCACCTCGCGATAAATATCGTGAATCTACGAAAACATTCCATCAGAATAACTACATTAGAATCGACGTAATTTGATCTGATAGTTTAAAAACGTCGTTCTCTGATGATATAACATCGACTAATAGACAGTAAGTTATCATATAATGTGTACTATATCCGCTATATCTTTTTCTTTCGGAAACGAACACAGCCCTATGTCGACCGTGCGGTTAAATAATCTCAAATTATTTATATATCGTAAAAATGTAACCGAATCGACAATAACACATTATCGCCAAATTGGAGGATTTGAATTGTCCGATTTCAATCCATAATCGCGATAATTACATTGATACAATCTACAACCAGAAATACAATATATTTGCGGTTTAACAATCCATAAATTAAATATCAATATAATTAACGCTAAATCATGTTAACGCTTTCTCTTCGATTATTAGCGTCATCATTACGCTTTATCAGTTATTATACGCTTACATTTATTCATATATATCAACACATCCATGCTTATTATGTCATTGCGATAATTCGATACCAATCGTTCTTTAATTCGTCGATGCTCTCAATAAAATTTTGTCATCATCGGTGGGCAAGAAAGCTTGTTCGACAAAATTTGATCTCTTTAAATATATGAAAGAACAGAATTGAGCTTTTCCACAATAAGCTAATCGTAAATTATGCCAACAATGCATTAAAAATAATAAGGTTTTTTTCATTCCTGTATAAACGGCTACATCAAACTTGATTCTTGCAAGAAACTTTAACGAGAACTTCAGCTAACAATAAGAAATAGTCCAGCTATTCAATCAAAGATTCGATTATCAACGATTACGTAAAGGATTATCTCTATCCAGCATCCGTAATAAGGGAATCGATCTACGAAACCTGGCGTTTTCTCAATTTCTTCACGATTTGTGTATGATATAGAAGTTGGAATTTTTTCCAATGAAAATAATAAATAAGTATTAACTCTGGAATACGCATTTTTACGTGACAAGAATTCACTAGAAAATCGTTTTAAAGTAATTTATTCACGTGTTACGTCGTATATGTAAAATATTCAAAATACACGGGGTTTAAATGTGGCAGCGATATTTTCAAGTTTGGACGGGATGTATTTTTAGCACTAAAGCTCTAACAATAAGTATACTCGCTATGAATTGCACTCTTATTGCTATAATATTGATGAAAAACTAATTTCATATCTATAATTAATGATTTTAATATCAAATAAAAATACAAAAAATTCATGAATATAAAACTATCTTTAAATTAAAAATTTTGATTATATTTAAAACAATTAATGGATAAATTATATTAATATTTAAAAATTGATTTAATTTAATAATAAATTTATCTGATTTTTATATCAAGATTCTTAATTTCTTTGTATCTTGAAAACTGAAATTTTAATAATGCTGATCTCTCTTGGAAGTTTTATTTTCTGAAAGTGCGAGTGTACGACTAGTATTAATCTAATTTCCAGAGTTAATACTCTTATAAAAACGATAAAAAAAGCGCGCGTGTCTCGAGACTCTTATATCCTCATTCATGATGTTTATGCGATATGTACGTGTAAAGTATAATTGGCACAGTTTTATACATATATATGTTATACAAAATTCACTACAAATTGATCTCACCCAGGATTATGATCTTTCTCAGCTGCGGGTTGGTCCTCTTTAAAAATCAGCCGTGTTATTATACCGAATATAGAAATCATCCATGCAGCCATTCCTTCGTTCCTTCAACTGATATGAGAAACCCTATCGGACTTAACGTAGTCTCATTAAGATTACATCACACAAGATAGACATCACTGTGTCGCGTCTCCGCTGTCTTTCCTCATTCCACATTCGCTAAAAATACGAATTATCGGTACCGTATCTCATCGTTTCTCGATGCCTTAATTCGAAAGCTAGAGGAATATAGAGCTATTGGGACAGTTCGACTGGAGGATCTAATGGCTGCCGTTGGTCTTTTTGGCTTGGCCGTTGTTTGAAAGATGCTTCCAGAGACCTGTGATCAACGGCACATCCCTGAAGCTATCGGCCGCCGGCTATCCTGCCTGCTACGAGCACATCAGGTCGACCGATCTGGATTCGCCCCAGGCGTTTTGCATCTTGAAGCCGGCGCTCGGTCGAGGCACCACGTGATGAGCCGGGGTGGACGATGCCGTTGTATGATGCCTAAGCGTGGTCATAGGAATACTGTTGTTGACCGCCGCGTTCTTCTTCTGGCTCTTCTTCGTGTCCGAGTCCTCCTCGAAGCACACCTGAAAGAAGAAAATGTCTCACGCTATACGTTCAATCAATTTTTATTATTTTTATTTTATATACTTTATTGCTAATTATAAATTAAAAATAATGGCGATTATTATAATTATATTGGACTATTAGTAATCGGATTAAAACTTTTCTCGAATATAAAATTATTAATATACAATTAAATATTTTTTTTTCGAAACTGAAAATATGGAAGAGTTAATGACAGATTTTTTTTATTTAATTCTTGAAGAATATACTATTGCATATGTGAAACTTACAATATTACAATGAATAAAATTATAAAGTTCTTCGATTTAATCGATTGCAAAATGGCGAACAAAATTTCTAGATTTTCCCAACAAAAGTGTAAAACGTGTTCGAAATTTTTTCAAAATTCTCGTAGAATAAATATAGGCGAAATGACTGCTATATTCGGGATACTTCAATTAATCTGCAAAAGAGCAATTTCTTCTCGTATCTACTAATGCGGTGCAAATTAATGGCGAGAGGTTTATACTAAATGTAGCAACGTGATACAGAGTATCGATGCGATGTAGCAACGGCAAAGAGATCAAAGGCCGTGGAATTATCGCTTTGCCGATCAGGCACCTTTTAATGGACACCAGCAACGACAACGACGCGTCAAAGAGAAAGAGAGAGAGACAGAGATTCTCGCATTTCATCGCTCACCCATGAGTTTCCTGCCGGTTTAGGATCGTTCGACAGATCAATTAATAAATTCTTCTGACTTTCATTACGCCGCTGTTGACTATTCTGCTTATTTTGCTCGTTAATCTTCCCGTTGGCGGTTTTTGTCTCGCTGACGTTCTTCTTTTCATTGTTATCTGTAATCAAAGATGCAGCTCGAATAATTAGATTGTATATCGAATAGACGTATAAAATAAAAGCATATCTATTATTTATGAATAAATTGATAATATTGAACAGAAAGGTAGATTTGTGTAAAAATAAATGAGGAAATATTATTTATTATATTATATCGTATCGTAAAGCACTTGAATATATACAATAATATTAAGTAAATCATTATTTACTTTTATCTTGAATCATGTAATAACTCAAATATTTTTCGTGTGTTAAAATTTCTCTTGAAAAAACAGGTTTCTGAAATGAAAGAAAATTTGAAAATACCAATTTTATAGATGTACGGAGCTTCTATGAAACTGCAATTTATCACGATAAAAAAGATTTGAAAATGCGAATTAATTCTTTAGCGCGGGCGGATTGATGTAAAGAAAATATTTATTTTCGAAATAAAGCACCACGTATATGAACTTTTCTAAAGCTCTGTATGCCCAAATATTAGATGGAATATTCAAAAGTAACATATTTCCATGCAATATCCATGAAATAAAATCCTCGCAAAACTAATTTAAAAATCAATAAACAAGTTTCACAGCGAGAATTAAATCGATCGATTTTATGAAAACTTTCAATTTATTTGTGTCTATTTTTTCATTACAAACGTGCTATCAATGTGGATCTTATATTATATTAACAATGAAAAATCGATACTCCATCGATGAGAAATATTCAATATAAATAAAAACCAGTAAACTTTCAGGAGATAATAATTTCTGTACTGATTTTCTTTTCACTGTAGTAATTTTGTTTATCAATTTTATCAAAGCAGCTATCTGCTATTAAATAAGTACAAAATTACATGAATTAAAAGTATAATGCTCTCTACTTTCCAAAGTTAGATATAATAAAGTATCATTAAAGAAAAGAGGATTATAACCGGGAATGTCTAAAAGTGAAGTTACACTTCTTTTCATTGTTGCTGAGTGTATGTGCACCATTCTCAATATTAACGCACAATTTCCTGGCTCTTTCGCTTGGTGCCAGGAAGCACCCCGCAATATCCGTACTCTCGGCGGGTTAAGTGCAAAGCCCATATAGGCACTGCACTTCACGATCATCGTGGCAGCCTTCTCTTTATATCCCCGCTCGCCCAAACTCGTTCCAGATTAAAGCAAGAGGCAACTTTTTCGAAGTGCAGAAAACGAGAGTAGGCTCCATTTCTACTCACTCGACGATGAATATATTTAATTTTTTTCTCGAGCTTTAATCGCGCGTAACTTGCCTTTTAAAGAGCTTCTAATTTTGCATAAATTGCTAATTATTTAACTAATGTAGAAAAATTTGTTCAATTCAAAAATCTGTAACTATATCATATTTCTAATTATATTAGTTAACCAATCTTTTTTTTATAATTTCTCTTTTAAAAAATTTTTCATTTCTTTAATCCTCTTAGAATTTTTTTTATCATATTTATTGCCTTATTCCGTATTTTTTAATGTTCTGTCAGTTTTTCTTTTTTTTACATTTTTACGAAAAAATTTCGATGCAGTCTATATAAAAACGATCACAATGTAACATTATCAAAGTTTCCTTACCAGTCTTGTCGCCTGTCAAAGGAGGACTCTTATCTTGTGCGTGATGGATCCTGGGATCGGACTGCGACAACTGCCACGCCTGATAAGCCGTGTTGAAGGCTTGTGCTACAGTCAGTGTCACTGTCTGAGCCATTTTTCTCTTGGGACAGAGAAACGCATGACACTCCATCGTCTCGTTCAGATTCGTCGCGATGAACGCAAACACATGATCGTGAGTCGCGTCTGCCGAGCAGTACGAGATTCTAGAAATGAATAACCGAGATCCAAATTATGTTACACGATGTAAGAATTTATCTGTTCTCTTAAAAATACGTATGTATCTTTTTTGAAGAGACGAGAAGATCTTATATTATCTTTAGAGCTTAACATACACCACGTGTCTTCAACAATAATAATCTTACGTCAGAGTTTGCGCGACTTTTTTTATGCATATCCCGCTCAATGTAAATTTACATTTACCTGCTTGCGGTAGCAGCCTCTTCCGTTTACGTTACACATTAGAATGTTCGCTCCGTATATAATAACCGAAAATTTGCTGAAGGGCAGAACCGAAATTACGTAAGGGAAGCGAGAATAATATAATTATGTAAAGGGGTTAATGTGTGCGGTATATGCATCGCGAATGCTTATAAAAGAACGGATGCAGTGATATAACTGGTGTATTAGGAAGGAACTCGGAAGACGCTCCGAGGCTATTTCATTCCTTACATCATCTTACATATAAGTTTCGTTTTCTAAAATATGTAAACATTATATAGTAATATAATAAAATAATAAATGCTATATACCACCTTTTTGTGTATTCACAATATAATTATAACTTTTAAAGTATTTAATATACTATATAAAAAGAGCAACAAAATAAATACATAAAACATCTATAAAATAATTCTTTAAAAAATTATTGAATTTATATAATAATTTTTTTGTACGCGATTTCGTTTTCTGGGACGTTAATCTTCTTTTTCCTTTTTTTTTTCACCCACTTTCTCTTTTCTCTTTTTTTCTTGATTCATGAATTTTTAGTTAGAAAGTTACGGTATTACTGGCGGGATCCGATAATTCCATTCGGCCCCGAAATAATGCTTTTTAACGCTCTTAATCCCGCGGCTTAATTTTATTCAGTCGCGCGTCTTTGCAGGCCTGTTAATTAACTCGCCGTTAACGGCGCCAAACGGCGAGAAGGTTAAGGGAATTTATAACCGACATGTCATCCCCCGTTCTTTTTTCCCTTTGTTTTTTTTTGTGCACGTTCCCCGTGAAATTTCTCGTTCGCCACTTCGGCACACCTCCGAGCGCATTATATGAGCAAGCGGAAACTGAGCTCGGCGAAGGGCTAACAATGGAAACCGTCGACCTCGTCCAGAATTACGCGGCTGGTCTAACGAATCCGCGGATGTCATTATCGCGAGTGCGCGAGAAAAGTTTCTCTTCATTCGAATCGGAAAATTCGGCGAGACTCCTCCGACCTCCTCGTAAATTTATTCTTCTTTTTCTCGCAGACACCGTTGTATTCGATTACCTCTTGGTCCGTAACATAGATTTCATGTATGTATTCTAATGTAAAATCGAGATCGATATTTAATTCTCTATATTTATTCAACCGTGGACTTTTACTCTTTATTAACTGTACAATATGCATTTACCAACATAGCTTAACTTATGAATATAAATTAATTTTTGTTTTAAAGAAGAACACAAATGCCAGTCTTCTAAATCAATATATATATATATATATATATATATATATATATATATATTATGGATCGAGAGTTAAAAGCATTTAATCTGCGCTTTTAATCTCTCTGGTTCATGAAAAGATACATTTAAAAGATACATTCAAACATTGGTCCTTTATTATAAAACACTCGATATGATTTTTTTAAATCCAATTATTTTTCACAAAAATGTAATTGAATAATATATACTACAGTGGAAAATATCCTAAACCTACAAAGACTCAAATAAATCGAGAATAAAAATATAGTCTTTATACTTTATATAAAAAAATCCAATACCATCCAAATAGAAAATCCATTCGGAATATCACAATAAAGTAAATATATTGATTTAAAATAAAATGCAGAATATATTGCTTTTTATTAAATCTAATTTAACTTGATGCATTTAATTTTATTATTATCAATATCAAAAATAGATATCAAAAGAATATTTTTACGGTGGCTATGATTTATATTGTACATAAATTTATGCGCTGCAAATCAGGCCTAACGAAATCATCATTGTCACCGAACATTCGTAATCCTCTCGACCATTAATGAGATTGAAAATTTCGCAATCTGCAAATCGAACGGCGGCCTGATGAGAGCGATAAAGAGCGACTGCATCAGAGTAACGGATCGGAAATAGCCGCGCCGATAATTTTTCGCAACGAAATCGTGCATATCGCACCGCTCGCTACGTCATCACCGTCATGTCGTCATTACATCGGATTGTCGATGCAACTTTTTGCTGTATGCATGCATACATGTATGTAGATTTATGTATGCATGTATACGTTGAATATAATTCGTCGCGGCTAGCTCCCGACAAAACATACAGCAAACGAGTTTCATTCGACGCGATTAAAATTTCAGTCGCGCATGTTCCGTGAAAAACAATTATTTATCGTTGCGTTTCATTCGTCGTGTTACTATTATATTTTTGCCGCATCGAATAAAATACGTCATATTTCTTTATTGAGGTAGAAAAAAGATTGAAAAGGTAAAAAACGGATTTTATTATATATTATAAGACTATTTAGATTGTCTTTTAACAAGAGAGACAATCTTTTTAATAAGATAAAAAGAAGTCGATAAAACTCATCGGCAAGCAATACTATCGTGAATATTAAAAGTAAAGATATCGGAACTAAATGATTATTGCGTTCCTATTTTATTTAGATCTTAGTATGAAAATTAAGATTGCTTTTTATTCTAATTTTAACAATTATTCTAATAATTTAAATATTTAATTTTTCTGCATTAAATAATTAATTAATATATTTAATACTTAATGAAGAAAGAGAGATTTTGAATGAAGGACAACCAAGCCACATACTGTAGTTCAACGTTCGACTTTCGGCTTCATGAAATAAGAAAACGCAAACAAAAAATAGAATTTTCTCCGCTCTAAGGCCCGCGCGGAACTGATCACGTGACCATGGGTCTCGCACTCGCGATATCTCGCACGAGAATCAGTCTCGCGCGAGACGCGCTACACGACAGACGTGAGGGATGTACTAATCTAATTTAAAGGCTAGAAAGAGACAGATGTTTTCGTCGGACCGCTTATCATTCTTGGCCGTCAGTTGGCGACATTACTGCGCAGAATCTTGGGGTCGGTGGTAGGGATTAGTTTCTCGCGAGACGTGCAGCGTGATGGACGTATAAGACGCTCGTGTCTAACGGAAAGGATAGAAAGAGAGATATCAGGTCTCGTTAGGCGAGGTGCTTGGCCACGAAGTTAGGTTTCGCCGCTAGATGGTGACACCATGCAGATTCTTGCGGTCAGCGGTCTAGCCGCTAGACTCTAGCGGTCGGTGGCGATTAGTCTTGCGCGCGACATGTGGCGTGATGGATGTGTGGAGATGCGCGAGTTTAATGGAAGCGCAGATATTTTAATCGAAACGATCTTGTAGAAAATTCTATTTTTTTTATTCGCGTTTTCTGTTAAAGATGTAAATATTAAATTTTTATGCATTACAAAATTAATTTATTTTTACATGTATTGCAATTTTTAAAATTTCATTATGAAAGAATAATATAACTTCGCTTCGTGTGCATAATTCAATTAGATTAAACGAAATGATATATACATATATCTAAATAATTTATTTAAATCCTAATGCCCGTACCTGTATATCGACACTTGAAGTTGATCCTCTTCGGTGGCGAGGTCCGTCATTCTAATCCCTCGCAGACTCACAGCCAGAGAGACCCTTTGCAGCTTTTTTCCGCTTGCTTTCGCCTGCAACAAACGAAATAGGCGGGATAAAGTGCAATCATGCGTAAAAGCTTTTGCCCATTGCCAGATAAAATTTAATTTCCTAAAAGTATCTTTGTCCTCTATTTATCCTTTCATGATTAAATTCTTTGTAACATAAACTGATATAATACAAAAGCAAAAAAGTTTTACAGAAAGTAAAATATTATAATTAAACGTTCTGAAATAATCTTTAATTTACAACTTCCTCGATCAAAATGTATATTTTTCATGACATACATTTTTATATTTAAAAAAAATATACAAAATATAATAATTAAAATATAATTATATAATATGCGCGATATAAAATATTAGTAATCTATTTATTATATAATAATGTATTATATAATATGTATTATATACTATGTTTTATATAATAACTTTTGCATCATTATCAAAACGTATGTGTAGAGGAAGAGAAAAAGTTTTAATTATTGTTTCATTAAAAAACGATCATTTTTTAATTTTCTAACATCTTCGATTAAGGAAATAAAATTGTTTGCCCTCTTTTGGCCATATAAATTCTACAAAAATATTTACTAAGCATCTCATCAAAGAATCGTTTGGCCGATTGATCATTGAACATCAGATTTTTTCCATCGCTTCGGTAATACTTTCGTCGTTTACTCGAGCAGAGGGTAATATTTATTGAAACTACCATTAGAATAGCTTGGGGAATTTCTCTAAGGGTAAATTTGTAACGTAAGCCTGAATAAATAAAGCAGCGGCTCAGATTACCTTTTTCGGAAATCAAGTATTTCGTCGCTAAACCGTAGGCTCTCGCATCGCTCTATGGCGATGCAATTACGGGGTTTCACGCGGATTAAGCGGTCCATTTAACCAGCGCATAGAGATTCCGCCGTCTTAATCGTGATCACGCGAAATTCCGGGACGTTCCTTAATCCTGCAACTCTCGAGCGGATTCTGGCATCGAGCTTTTCTGTCGCGGATACATGATCGGAGAGAGATACACGTTCATTTAATCCCTACTTAGCAATCTGATTAATTGAATTGCATGACGATACAATTCGCGACAGTATAAAGAATAAATAAGAATTGAAAATTTAATTTAAATATATGGAAGCTTTCGCTTTTTAGATTCCAATTTCGCAGATAAAAAATATAGCTAAGAAATATATTACGAATAAATAGATTTTTTAATAGGTAGAGTGAACGTAATAGCAGCCAAATTGACCCAAATTAGTATAATTACTTGAATACAGAAGATATTTAAAAATATCAATTTTTCCTATAATATAAATTTATTTCAATATGATCGTTAAACAAATGATGAAATACAAGAAGCTAATTACACGGTAAATCTAAATTTTGTATTGAATTTCATGTTTATGGTTTAATAATGATATTAACAATATTATTATCTGTAAAATTATTTTACAGGTCAGTCGAGATTTTAATTAATTTCTTTGCTCTCTTTTATTAAAATAACAACAATTATTAGAATTGAACGAGGATTGTAATTCGTGTCGAGCCTGAGTAAAATCTATAGAAATACAATCGCACACAAAGTTCCACAACGAATTAACGCATCCTTTCGTGTAAAAAGAGGAATCTAGTAGCGATAACGAGGCCCCTCTCTCTCTCTTCATTTACTTTATAATTACCACGTTTAATTCCCAGTAACGAGCGAGTACTACTTATTCAGCCATGCTTTCGACAGCTATTTGTTGCGAGAAACAGAATATAATATTCCCGCTTTTCCGATAGATTAAATATCTTAATGCCCATTATTTTCTTGTTTAAACATAAGAGAATTAATATTAAAATTAATATTTTCACCGAACATTTTCCTTTTTCATTTGATCGCAACACGATATTCTATACCTCTTTGACTGACACGGAACAACTTGTACGTGTATTAGCACCGTCTCATGTCTATTAATTCAAATTACATCTAAAAGGTCACGCGGTAATTTAGCGCGTCTTGTATCAGCGAGCTTCTTGCTCGCAAACACTAAATACCATTATCAGCGAGAACTTGCGGGCAAGAGTTGCATGATGGAAACTACGTAGAGTTACCTTTATGGTCTCGACAGGGTAAGACGATGCTATTAGACGTGCGAACAACATTATCTCCTACTTCGCGACCGAGAGACACCTTAATTAGATACTCAGAGCGAATTATCTCGAAATAATGAAGACAAAAATATTTCTAGACTTAACTGGAACGTCGATGAAAATTGGAACGTAACATCTCGAAAGTGTCTAAAAGTTATAAACGCAGTATGTCATATATCTAAGAAAGTTGCGAAAATATATATTTCACAGCTAATTATATATTATATATGAATCTCTCTGACAAAGAAAAGTTCGTTTCCCAATAAAAAACTAAAATAGTTGAAATTTATTATTCCTACAGTTGACAAAGGATGAGAATTGGAAGAATGGGGAACGAACTCTCTCTCCAACCTGGGAAATGGCTGCGACGCTACGAGAAGGAATTAACAATATAATAGACGCAATTACGTAAGTACAAAAGAGACGACGAGAGAGAGAGAGAGAGAGAGAGAGCTAGATCAATCGGTGGAGGAGAGACGAGTCTGGCGGGCATTTTAGAGGAGCGCAAAGACGAGCCGCAGTGCAGGCTTTGATCGGGAAGTTTCCTGACGCGAAATACGATTGCGCGCGTCGAGAAACTTTCGAATCGATCCAAATCGAGATGCTTGCCGGTTACAAAAAACCCGCGGCAACGGAGGGTTCTTGTTCGACATTGTAGACGCGATGCAACAAAACCCGTTTGAATCAAAGCAGCTTAGTGCAACACGAACAGTCAAACCGGGCAACGTGCTGTGGAGTACGTTTTTCGTTATTTCCACTTGCAGTTTCGCGTTTACATAGTTAGATCGCGTTTTTCGAATTCTTACAATGTAATTTCTATGATTGCATTTGTCAATGAATATTATATGCAATGGGATATTTTATATATAGATTGTGAATATTTATTTTTAAATGATAAATATATATTATAGAGGGAAAGAGAGAGAAATTTTCTGAGCATAAATAATTTTTAAAAGTATTATAAATATGTCGTCGAACGTTATAAATAAATAATATTTATATTTCTATTACATTATAATTTTTAACTATTTACATAGTTAGATCGCGTTTTTCGAATTCTTACAATGTAATTTCTATGATTGCATTTGTCAATAAATATTATATGCAATGAGATATTTTATATAGATTGTGAATATTTATTTTTAAATGATAAATAAATATATATTATAGAGAGAAAGAGAGAGAAATTTTCTGAGCATAAATAATTTTTAAAAGTATTATAAATATATCGTCGAACGTTATAAATAAATAATATTTATATTTCTATTATATTATAATAAATTACAAATTTATTGTTAGTATTGTTATAGATATATTAATCATTGAAATGTACAAAACTCGCTGGCATGCGTGGTTTCATGTATTGACTGAATCCTCCCCGTTAATAACTATCTCGGAAATTGCCGAAATACATACATACATACATATACTACTGCTTTCTGCGATGTTGTCCATGTAATCTCGCGGTATGAGTCGTAATCGCTTCGAAATTGGAATTATATGAGACGCGCAAAGTTTCGTTATTAATTAATTATGTTCCTCGAATCGTTGCTAAATCGCATAAATTCATTTCCTCCCTGATTACGTTATTCAACAAGAATTTCGCTAAATCCGCTAAATTAAATCGAACCTAGTAGAACTTTATAATCTCTAAATTCAATTTCTTCTTCAAATGTGATTCACGATGAAATATTTTTTGTCGGAATCATTTTATTTTTTAAATCAAGTTTTATTTTTAATAAAGTGTCAAAAATATTCGGCGCTATTTTCACGTACGAGAAAAGTAAAACTCGTTTCATCGAGAACAATATAAGCGATATTCGCGATATTTCACGTACAAAGTCAATTATAATTAACGAATGAGCGGAAGTTGAATCAAACGTTTCTAATTAATGTAATTTTTGTATTCGCTTTTCGTCATATTTTTTTGCTCTGTGCTTTCAATTTCCGAACTCCGCGCATCAATAGTTGCGATTGGAAAACGTATTTATGATTCGACGAAATCTTTATCAATAACAGGTTGTTGAACATAAAAGCACGGAAAGTAAAAAAAAAAAATAGAAAAAATTAGGCGAATTCCTTGTCAGCTGTGACAGAGACAAAGCGACGAATGAACGTGGCGCAAAGTAATCACGATTCATTTTCATTAGCTTTATTAACGGACTCGTGGCTACGCGTAGAATTAGTACCTTGCAATTTCAATTAAATTCTCTTCACGGCGGCCGCGTCGGAAAATGGTTTAAAGTAAATTACGCGGCGCGATACAATTTCGACGATAAATAATACAGTGGCAATCTCCGGCGTGGATGGCAAACCTACTTTCTCTCTCTCTCTCGCATTCTCTGTTTCTCTCTTTTACCCCCTTAACAAAGGTCAAACTTGTAAGGTTTAATAATTTAAAATTCTGCGCAAAATATATTACACCTGTTCGTGGTAATGTAAATATGCCTTATAAATTGTGTTTCAAAAAGACGATCAAAGAAATATAAATACCTCTATTTTTAATTATGATTTTGCACGTTTGTACATAGAAGAAAGTGCAATTTTACATAAAGAAATGTAGTGCAAACTCTTATTACATTTTTTCTGGTATTAGCTTCCAAAGTAAGAGTGTAAAAACTTTCTCAAAATAATATGTAAATTTTAAATTGCATAATATATATAGAATGTAAACCAAATATATGACATAAAATTCACAAATATTGGACACAATACAATCCTTTATTTCTTAATGTTGAATTATTTTTGGGATATGATTTAGTACAAAGAAATGATAAAAATACAATTTTGTAAAAAAATAATTTAAAAACGCAATTCGAGATTACCAAAAAAAATGATGTAGGCTAGAAATGCTGTTTCAGAATACGTCGCTAAATTAGATTAAATTGTGATGAGATTTCAAATACGCACCATGGTGATGACGGTCTTGATGGCTTCCGCCGTGGCCTCTTCACTCGAGGGTGTCTCGACGAGGGTGCTGCCCAAATATTTGAGGGTGAACCTAGCCTCGGACGTGTCCTCGGATTCCTCCCCGTGGGTTGTCCCAGCCGAACCACCCTCTACGCACTCGCGGCTGTTCGCCAACGCCCATTCCTCGCATAATTCTGGAAATCAACATCGAGCAAAATATTGAGGTACAATCCATCCACGAGTGTCGTACATAATTTGTTGTATAAGTTGCAGTGAAAAAAATCCACCCAATTTAAAACCAAACTTTTTGCGAAACATTTTACTGTGCGAATTTTTTAAGGAAAAAATATATTGTGATTCTGAAAGACGATTCGGAAATCGTCGATTTTACATCGATCGTTAAGCCTGCGTTGAATTTACGATCACAGGGATAACGCGAAGATTTTTTTTTTTTGCAGCTTAATAGAAAATAAAGAAATTTGTGGGCAAAAATTTGGAAACTGCTGCTCTCGTCACGGACACACGAATCCGGCAGAGATAAATGTTACGGTGGATGGAAAGGGGGATGACCGATGTAACATTAGTCCAGGTTCGTGCAACCACATAAGCCAACCTCGTTGTCTGTCCACTTCGTGACAGGAATAGCCGCACGTGTGTTACAATAATGGATGCTCCGGGTGTATACATCGTTCTCCAGTCCAAAACTTGTCGAATAGTTGCAATTCCGTCGAGAGAAATTGCGATGCAAAAATGTTGAACTGACATTTTATAAAATTTAACTCGATAATCAAGTAAAAATGTTTTAAAATGTACAGGGAATTTTCATATACATATATACAGAAAATTATTTGATTTCGGAGCAAAGTTGATAGGAATCGAATTTATCACTCTCGATAAAAAGTTATAATTATCAAAAATGAAACAAAGTACAATTCCCATATCGACAAAACTTATAAGAATTATAAAATAAGAAACAAAGTACAACTTGTTCTATTGCGCGATAAAAGAAAAAAGTTTAAAGTTTTACAGGAAATTACATTTATTTTGAAGAAAGTTAAAATTAATTATCTCATGCTTGAAGGAAAGAATTGCAATTATTATAAGATAAAAATTACGCATATTTCTATTAGTACGATATTTTTTATCGCGAGTTTACATACATTAATGACACATGGATTTTTTAGTTTAATACAATTATAATTAATTGTTTAGAACATAAGCAAGTGGAAGCACGCGAGAGGAAATTCGCGAAATTATTTTGCCCCCGCGATTTGTCTTCGTCACAAGTTTACAAAACAGTATAGTTGCTCGTGCTATTGTCGCTTGCGGGAAAGTCTGAAGTTTCGCGAGTGTCCATACGACATTATTGTCGAGTGTTCACCTGCAGAACAATTTCGCAAAAGTGGCGAAAACTCGTTACCAGTTTCGCGATGTGCCGGAGCGCATCGTGACGTCTCGCGATCGAGAAAAGAAAATCGAGTCTCTCTCGCACGGTCCCGCAAGCATCATCCCTACGGATATATTCCTTTAGGAGAGTTAGGAGGTTCGCGCTACAATGTGTCAAAAGTTTTCGTGCCATCTCACGGCGACGATATATGCGTTCGGCTTTCTCATTCTGCCACGCAGCTCTTCGCAAATCGACCGAAAAAATGAAAATTGAAGTACAAATCGTGTAATCCGATAGAGGCCATCAATCGTGAGTCGCGTGTATCTGAAGTCTTTCTTTCAACTATAAATTTCTCCATTAAATTTGGAGCAAAAAATATTTATGTAAAAATTTATTTAATTTTAAATATCCTAATATTCAAAATTTAAGTTGTACTAGAGGAAAATGAAATTTAAAATAAAATCGAAAACTAAGTTTTATCTTTATGAAAAATCATATTATTTTTAGAATATTAAAGATTCTAAAAATTGAAATTTGCATAATAAAATAAAGCAAGCTTTTTTAATTTGACTTGAATGGATTATTTTTGAAACACATACAATATATATAAGAAGCATTCCCGATTCATCATCGATGTATAAAAGCAGACAATGGACGATTTCCGCAAATCGAGGAAGGACACACGAAGGACATGAAAGCGCAGGAAATGTGCCTGGCCCATTTGTATCAATTTGTCAATGCGCACTTCCTGTATTTTTTTTTTTTTTTCGTATTGCTGTACTATCAATCTTTAACGACCTTCTAACGTCTGGAGAGATTCTCGCTCGATTTCGCGATAAAAGCAGCTGCTCCGAGCAATTTCTTCGATAAACGTCGTACCGCGAAATGCATTTTGACGTGCCGATATCGTGATTGTGAGATGCATCATATCACATGCGCGTATAGATGACAAGATATCTTACATTGAAATTTATGATAGAGTCTTCCAATAAATTTCTCGCCTTGGAAACATTAATTTTAAAAATATTTCAAATTTTTCAAAAAAGTCTCATTAAAAAAGATACTTTTCAAATCTCTTATTACTATTCGATGTTCATCCAATTTCCATAAGAGATTTATGCGTGTAATTTTATATATATATATATATATATATATATATATATATATATATATATATTTATCATATATGTATATAAAATTTACTAAAATTTGTAACACATTGATAACAAATGCAAAGCTATTAAAATTGTCTCTCTAAAAAAACTATATTAAAATATATCATTTCATAATTTTTTAATGCAGAATAAATGTCAATATGCCATAGATATTTTTATATGATAATTTATACGATGTTCACGGAAAACCGTTTCAATGTTAACACGGTGAATTTCAGAGCCCGCGCCGCGGTGTGATAAATTTAACCGTGACGCGAATATATATTCCACGGATGTTTCCTTCGACGGAATAAGAAGAATTGACTACGGGGAGCCGATCGTCGCAAGGACGAGTATTTTAATATTTCAACGGCCGCGTTGACAGGGTACTACGTGAAAGCCATTCTGCGCGTGACGCCGCTGACGGAAACGCAGCACCATCCGGCGAAAATTTATGCCTAACCACCGCCTCCATCCGGCGCGGCATAGAAAACAGATATGTAGGTATAGGTGTGTATCCGTGAAGTTCTATTAAGTAAGAGGCAACCGAGGGAGAACGATGAGAAGCGACGAGAAATTTCAGGTATTTTATTTCATCGTCTGCAAAACTAATTGTACGAGTTATCGATTTTCCATTTCAAAATTTGTGGCAAATAAAATTTTTAACTCATTTCTTCCTGAAATTCTCCTTTAACGCTTTCCCTTGCACATAAGAGCTCCTACAGAAATTTATGAACTGTAATAAGGACGATGTTACGCCGATAACATAAATTTCACGAGCACTTCGCCGTAAGAGTGTCTCGTCGTTCCAAGTGTTTTCACGCGAAGAATCTTCAGAGACACGCAGAAATGGAAAGATCTCGCGGTTCGTTCTATTCTCCGGTCCGAAGATTTCTCTGTCATAGCTCGCGGCAGCGAATCGTTTCTCTCTATCTTTTTTTATCTGTCTCTGTCTCTACCCTTCTCTATCTCTCCCTTGGGCAAAAGCAATTTGTGGGATGCTTTTCCCGCCTCGGACGCGGACTACACGAAATTGGGCCAATTACCTCAAGTTTTTCAGCAATTACTAAAACGACCGCGGAAGCTGGGGAGAGAAATTAACCATCCGCGAAATTGAGAGAAAGGAAGAGGAAAAAGGAAAAAATACGCGTGTTTGGAGGAGTCTAATTTTGATACCCGACAGATTTATTCGCGTTCGCGCGACCTTAATCAGCTACACTCGATGCGTTTGCGTGGATACAGATATATATATATATATATATATATATATATATATATATATCCTTTAAATGGTTCAAACGAAGACGCGAAAAGTCGATTTAAACCATGGATTGACCGCGAATAAAATCTTCGCCTTTCAGCGCGCGATCGTTTTATTCGCCAGTCAGTTTTATTTCTGCACCCTCACTTGGCTTCCGGTCTGATTCGCGTGGGGTTAACCGCGGGAGAAACTTTGTTCCTCGAGCTTGTTGCGCGCCAACGAGATTTTTCCTCTCTCGCGTTCAATACATACCAGTGAAGAACGATAGGAATGGTATTGATGCACCCTCTCTCTTTCTCTCTAACTTCCCGTGTGAGTTTTCTTGCATTGAATCCGCTCGCGAATGCAATCTTATCGATTCAACGAGGAACATCCCCGCAATTTTCTACGTGCATCTATACACGATGTACGTAGATTTGTTTCTTTGAAAAGAGATGGGATTAGATTGCGAATGGAAAGCGATTTATAATAGCGAGACATCCTACAACGACCAGAGATATATATTTTACGTGCGACGTAAATCCTGTAAAACCTCTCCTTTAAACGTTCATGCTTTTAGATCATGTTTAACTAGCTAAAGAATTATTAAGTTGGCAAGCACGTGGAAAAACAATCTTCTTTTTCAAATATATATATATATATATAGTATAATATATGATATAATATTAATTTTTCGGAACTGTATCTCTTGGTTTGAGATTACTAAGTTCCATATATAAATTAATCTCGAACTTACATATGGAGAAAACTTAATTTTTCGCGCTTGGGCTCTATTGGCCGATTTAAAAAATATCATATATTATTATTATTTAATATTGAGAGCCGACAAAATATTTCTATATATATATATAGGTTGAAAAATATTTGTATACGTTTGTGTCTCCAAAACTTCATTAAGAGCCGACACTTGCGCTAAGATATTTAAGTACGAGAATTGTATTTCCAACTCTGCGCACTTGAGATTATCCGAATTAAATGGCTTCCGTCATCGTTAAAGACTCATTAAAAGGAGATATACCGGTGATGTTGCTGCGCAGTAATCAATGGATGCCGCGAAGGCAGAAAAACGAGAAGGAAAGCTATAATGCGACAGTTCCAACGAGCGATTCTCCCGTATTTCGCGACGGCGATTCACCGTAGGATTTCCATTGAATAGGTACGGCTTTCTCTATCCGCAGAAATACGCGCGCGTATATATATATATATATATATATATCCGCATATCGGTTACGCGCTTTCATTCGCCTCTCCGGTCCACGACACGTGACTGTTCTGCCGGATATTTCTTTTCTCCCTGTAACACGCACACCGAATATTTCTCTATGCAAAATCGCAACTGAATTCAGTCGCTACTACTACGCCACCGTAAAACTCGACGATATGAAATTATTGAGCGAACCGTTCCTTTCTCCCGCGTCTCTCTTTCAGTCTGCGAAATCGCGGATGCAAAAATGTGAAAAAGCGCGTAACGTTCGTCTCTTGCGAATTTCAAACGTCGCGATTGGCTCCGTATAAGTCTCAATATCTTTAAGTAAGAGTATATATCATCAATTGATTTTAATTACGTCTCTCAGTTGAAAATGTATATAAATAATATTTATTCGATCGATTTCAGATAAATATTCGTTTCACAAAATTTGTATACGCCATGTAAATATATGTAAAGTTAACATATGTAAAATCGACAGTTTAAAAAAACGCGATAAAACGTTATAAATTATATAAAATTATCTAATATTTTATTTCTCTATTTAATTAATTTTTATATAAAAATTCAATATTTAAAAGGAATATTTAAAAGAATAAATTATTTCAATTTTTAATAAAAAGTATTATTTGATCCCTCGAATATATCGCATATACAATTCATATCTTTTCCCATATTTTATCTATAGAAAGCTAATATATTCTGTATCGAATCTTTTTTAATAATACATTTATTGAAATTTCAAACTCCAATAGAATATTAGTTTTCAAAAAATTCATCTCGGTAAATATAAAAAAAAAAAAAAACATTGGTAGAAACATTCCATTCGTGGCATTTTATAAATGCGGTCGAATGTGTTTAAAGCCGCCTGGTAGGAGATATCGAACTGCATAGTGATCGCATGCAAACGCTCTAGCACAAACAATGCAGCCGTGCGGTACAATCGGTGAAATTAAATCGGCGAAAATTGGCCTCCAATCTGCGCATACACGCATCAAATTTCCCATTCCTTTA